GCGCACACACACACACACACACACACACACACACACACACCACATACACACTATATAAATGCAAAATAATACAGAAAATAAATTTTAATAAAAATCAACATACCAGCTATTTGTGTGTGCATATGTAGCTGCAAGCATGCAACGGATTTATTACTTGATAAATTTATTTACGGACTTATTTTGCATTTATATATATATATATATATATATATATATATATATATAGTGTATGTAATTGTAAAAATGATTAAAATATTTTCAATATTTAAAAATTTTCAAGTTTATCGCCTTATATTTCTATAATTTTTCTATATTCTAATATATTGTAAAAAAATTGATATTGATATATTTGAACTCAAGTTTTTTACGTGATTGAATATTATTGCATTGAGCCATCATACGTTACTCGTAAGTTCTTTTACGTTATAATAGTATTTATGTAGCAGAGAGAAAGAGATAAGAGAGAGATTATACAATATAACTTTAATAATCGAAAAAATCACGATAACGCTATTGTCATATCTATGTGTGTGCATATATATAAACATATTAATTTGCATATTATCTACCCAGACAGCACCAAGTCTAAAATTGACGCATAAGATAGCATTAAGAAATCTTTAAGACAGCTATCTTATGATATGATATCAAAAAGACATCTTATAAAGATATCTTACGCGCCAATTTTGGACTTGGTGTTGTTTGGGTATATAAATAAAATATGTACACAAATAAAATAATATTTGCATAAATATTATTTTATTTGTACATATTTTATTTACATAGATTATATGCATTTAAATAAATCATTCGATAATTTATTACACATTTTATTTATTATATAGATTTATATAGATTATATGCAAATATTTAAATAAATCATTCGATTATTTGTTACAGATGCATAATGTGAAATATATATTGCGTACACGAAACGATAATTGGAAGATAATGTTAGGCAAGAATTATTGCTATTCTTATTGTTCTTTTACATATAATATACATATACAGAGAAACAATGATAATACGAAAACCGGTTTTTGCTGATATCTCCCAATAATCGCATTCGTTCAACGCATTAGTGTTTGTGTCTACATGGATGTTACTACATATGCGATGTAAGAGAGACAAGGACAGAATGATAGTCTCTCCTTGTCAAGCTGTTAGCTGTCAGTATAGGTTTGTTCGCGTCGCATGCCCTAACTTGCTCTTTTTTACTTCAATGAGCTCGTATTGGTCCAATTCGAGGAGCGCACCAATACGAGCGCATTGGAGTAAGAAGGAGCATGTTGGGCATGCGACGTGAACAAATCTAGTATGTTACCACGGAAATTTCCCCTGCTCCTTATGAATCTAGTGAGAATCTTATCGTCCAGATATTTCATAAAATAAGTGACATAACTTTGGTTTTTTTTTTTTTTAATATTCTTGATATAATAAAGTAGTCCGCCAAAGAGTCGGATTTTGCATTTTTGCTCTGAAAAATTTATAATAAATAAAATACGGACTCCTGGCTAACCCAACCTTACCCGTTACTAGCTGCGCATTCCCCCAAGTTATATTATAAATTTTATTTTCATCTTTTTTTCAATAAATAACTCTTTGGCGGACTGCATTTGAGCTTACTGATTAAGAATATCATAAATTTAATAAGATTCATTCAGTAGTTTCGCTAATATCTGGAATATAAGAATCTCTAATTCCCGGCCGGCCGATAGGCGTCTCCACCATGTCGCCTGCCGACCCTTAAGCCCTAAACCTTAAACCTTATGCACAATAGAAAAAATATTATAAATAAATATTAAATATTAAATATTAGGAATTATTTTAAATAATAAAAATTGAAAAATTCTGATAAACAAATACAAATTCAACTATAAAATCCTTCTATTAATTTATTAGTCCCAAATTTGTATTTTCATATCAGTCCTTTCGATTTTATATATATAACTTTGAAATAATTCTTATTCTTAATATTTAAGGGTCGGCAGTACACCCAGGCAAACTCCGAATTGATATTGGAGACCTCGTGCGGTGACAACGCGAAACTCCGGTTTCAGTGTTGCCAACGCCGAGAAACCAATTCTCGGGTTTTATGTAGTGGTGTATGTCTGTACACGTACATACACCAACTGCATCGCTCACGCGGACGCACGTAAGAGAGACAAGGACCGATAATCACGTGTTCTCCTTGTTCATCTACCGTGCCGGTATACGCGAGATGCCGCCTGAAAATGCTTTCTGGCCTTCCGTAGCAGAAAGCAGTAACGTAGCAAGACTAATAAGCACCCACTTTTTGGAAGTATATATGGTTATGCACATATGTGCATAACGTATATATATAACATATATATATATATATATATATATATATATATATTATATAAGGGATATGTTGATTATATTCTTGATTTCTTTTTGATTATTGATGCTATTGTATAATTTGCTCCAAATACTTATAACGTGAAAGAACGTTGAGTAATGTATAATCAATGCAAGGATGTTCAGTATATCATCCAGTATATAAATTAGAGTTCAAATATATCAATATCAATTTTTTATAATATATATATATATATATATTAGAATATAGAAAAATGATAAAAAAATATATTTCGGCGATTTAAAAATTTTTTAATATATTGAAAATATTTTTACTACATACACTATATATAAGTGTAAAATAATTCAGAAAATAAATTTAATAAAAATCTACATACCAGCTGTGTGCATGTGTGCAATTGATTTATTACTTGAAATTTATTTACGGAATTATTTTGCATTTATATATTTATAGTATGTGTAGTTGTAAAATGATTAAAATATTTTCAATATCAAATTTTTAAGTTTATCGCCTATATAAAAAATATATTTCTATGATTTTCTATATTCCAATATATTATAAAAAAATTGATATTGATATATTTGAACTCAAGTTTTTTACGTGATTAAATATTCTTGCATTGAGCCATCATACGTTACTCGTAAGTTCTTTCACGTCATAAGTACTTATGTAGCAGAGAGAAAGAAATGAGAGTTATACAATGTAACATCAATAATCTTATATATTATAATCTTATATATTATATATATATAATATTTCATTTATTTATAAAAAACATTTTATAAATAAGTAAAATATTATACAGACAATGTACAAGATGTTCAGTTTGTGCCATAACAAGCTTCAATCAATAATTATTACTCCAATGAGTATAATTCACAATAATTTTTATATAATATAATAAATATTTGAATATATAAAAATATTTTTAAAATTTGTTTTAAAAATTAATTGAAAAAGAATATTTAAAATATTTTTTTATATTTAAAATATTCTTTTCCTCAATTAATCTTAAAAAAAATATTTTTAAATATTTAAAAATATTTAAAAATACTATATATTATATAAAAATAATTGTTGATTATTATATTGGATTATTAATTGAATGAAGCTAGAGCTTTTAATATGGCTTTTAATACTGCTTGACAAGGAGAGAGCATCATTCCATCTTTGTCTCTCTTACATCGCATATGTAGTAGCGTCCATGTAGGTACAAACACTAAAAAATATTAAATTTAATTTTTTTATTGTTTTGAATAATTTTATCATTAATATACTTATTTTCAGAACTATTTCAATTTTTATTTCATACTTATGTTTATATAAATTATAAATTAAAAACATATCAAAAATGTAATACATATTAATAAAATGCAAATACATATAGAAAATTAATTATAAAATGTCATCTTAAAATAGTTTTTATTTTTGTTCTTTATTTACATATGCATACATATACAAAAAAATAAAAATAATATGATAGCCTTTTTGCTGACATTATCTCTCAATATTTGCATCCGTGTGCTCACGTATTAGTGTTTGTACCTACATGGACGCTACTACATATGCGATGTAAGAGAGACAAAGATGGAATGATGCTCTCTCCTTGTCAAGCAGTCAGCATGTTACCACAGAAATTTCCCCTGCTCCTTATGAATCTAGTGAGAATCTTATCGTCCAGATATTTCATAAAATAAGTGACATAACTTCGTGAATTTTTTTTAATATATTCTTTATATAATAAAGCAGTCCTCTAAAAGGCCGGATTTTACATTTTCGCTCTTAAAAATTTATAATAAATAAAATACGGACTCGCGGCTAACCCAACCTTACCCGTTCCTAGCTGTGCATTCCCCCAAGTTTATTAAAAATTTTTATTTTTATCTTTTTTTCATAAAATAGCTCTTTAGAGGACTACAAATGAGCTTACTGATTAAGAATATCCTAAATTTAATAAGATTCATTCAATATTTTCGCTAATATCTGGAAAATAAGAATCCGTAATTCCCGGCCGGCCGATAGGCGTCTCCACCATGTCGCCTGCCGACCCTTAATATTTATTTCTAATATTTTCTCTATTGTACGCAGGACCTTAAGAAATCGACCAAATATAAGAATAATACTCGATTGTGATTGGTCAATTTCTATTCCTTATTTTTCTATTGGTGGACATTTTTTCTATTTTTTTTTGTAACCTTGCAATAATTTTTATAAAATCGAAAACCTCTTCAAGAAAAAAAAATTCTCGATGACCGGTTCGGGACCAATTCGAAACCGTTTTGGAGAAAAATTTGGCACAAGATCACGGAATAAAAATTTTTCTTGGAGGAAATTTTCAGAACATAACCCAAAATATAAATGAATTATATCAGAAATCGAAAACCCCCTCTTAAAAAATCAATCAATAAATAAATAAAAAATAAAAAAAGTAAAAAAAATTGACTCGATAACCGGTTTGGTACCAATTCGGAACCGTTTTGGAACAAAATTCAGCACAAGGCCACGAAATAAAAATTTTTCTCGGAAGAAACTTTTCAGAACATAACCCAAAGTACACATATATATTTATAAAATATAGAAAGGCGTACTTTGGACTACTAAATATAAGAAAATGCAAAAAATAAATATATAATCTCTATTTATCCATCATAGACATATAATACGCCAAACCGAGTTCACATGAAAGTTGATCTTAAATCGATCGGCGGGTCGGTAGTGCGAATCGGAAGTGCTATTAGTAGCCTTGGGGATAAAACATCTGATCTTCGGGCTGGCGGTAGTGCGCGCATATATGTGTGTGCGATGTACTTAATTCGCTTTAATTAACGAAGAGCGATCGATCACTTTTTCATGTATCGTCATCGGCCGCAGAAGACGAGTCCTGAGGATCTGCCTTGGTCGGGGTCTGATAAGATCGGCGCGTGACAACGTTAATTATAAATATAATAAGGCTCGTAAAATCGGTCACGCTTGTTATGCGCTGGTCGCGATATATCGTCGGTCCGGTTCCGAATTGTCGTAACCTTGATACACCGTATTATCATTCGCGCGATCGCAAATCGGCGTCGAGATCTCTCTCTCTCGGAGGAGGAGGTGTCCGAATCTCGTCGAAGGAAGAACAGCTAGTGCGCTAACCTAGAAGAAGATGCGGGCATCTTCCGCGAACGCGCTTCCGCTCCTGGGGATCCTTCATATGTTTTACTGGCTGCTCGATCTGGTCGCGGCTACCGGAGGGGCCCTCGATTCCACCCCGACCTTTCAGACCGCGAGTGCCACCGGCACTCCACATTCCAAGATAATCGCCTTCTCCGCGAGCCTCACCGATGGTCTGGCCCAGGCGGTGGCCCACGAGTCGTCCAGTGAGTCAGCTGTCACTTTTAACGTTTCACGTTTCTCGAGTCCATCTGTCACTTTTGACGTTTGACATTTCTCCCCGAAATATCTATCAGTTTTGACGTTTCTCCCCGAGTCAGCTGTCACTTTTGACATTTAATGTTTCTCTTCGAGTCAGCTGTCACTTTTAACGTTTCTCCTTTTGATGCGCTGTGTCTAAACTCAATTTGTTTCCAGCTATGGATACCTGCAACGACGACTTGGCTTGCATCACTATGGCTTCTCATGATCGACTGGGCTTAGAAGCTATTAAGTCTCTTCACAGTCAACTGGATGACGATGCCAATGGAAATGTTGATCTGTCAGAATCGGACGATGTAAGGATATTTGTTGGTGATGGTTTAGAGCTCAGTATAGGAGTGAATAAACAATATAGTATTAGGCTGATTAAAAGTCTAGCATGATAAATAATGCACAGATTCTTGAATAAGTATGATTTATTAAGTTAAGTATGGTTTACGCAACTTCAGCAACTGTTAGAATCATATACATGTGTAAAATAAAGTGTGGATTATAAAATCGATACTCTACAGGAATTTTTCAGAAAAAAACGCACACTATACAATGTTGCACAATTGGTTATTGAATAGAACAATTTTTGGAACTTTAAAAATTTTCTATTTGATAGCCAATTGCATCGTATTGTGTCTATCTGTGTTTTTCTGCCAGAAAACTTCTTATGATTATTTACAAAAAAAAACCAATATTTTCAAGTACTTTGGATTAAGTATGTTCAAATCTTTTGAGTACTTATATATATAAATTTTACATTGTGTAAGTATTATAAATAGATTTTTCTATATTAAAGTTCGAGTTACTTGTGAAAAATTCACAATAAAAAATACAAGTATTACTTTGAATCCTGCAGGTACTCAAATACTAAAATTTGTAATCAAATATCATAAATAAATTTTTTTATCTTGGAATTTGAGTATTACTTGTAAAAGTTTAATTAATTACGATAGAAAGTACTTACAAGTACTATTTCGAACTTTGCAGTTACTCGAATACTAAAATTCAAATATAAATGCTCTAGATTCAAAATTCAAAATATACTAGATATAATATATGAAATATAATATTTCTTAAATATTATTCAAATCCTAGAAAATAAAACTTGATTATTGGATTTGACTTTTACATATATTGCACAAAAATTACATATATACAAGGTATTATAATGAATGTATTTTTAACTTTGACAGTTTTTAAGAGAAGAATTGCAGTACGAAGCTGGTTATGAACGAAGACAGAGAGCTTTTCATCATAATGATGATATGCATATCAGTGTACGAGAGCTCTGGGAAGCTTGGTTACGATCTGAAGTAATACTAAAATTTTTAGATAGTAATAAAGAGATACTTGTGATTTTACAGTACATGTAATTATTATATCTCACATATTGTCATGTTTCTGTATATTAGGTTCATAACTGGACAATAGAACAAACATCAGAATGGTTAACTTCCAATGTTGAGCTTCCTCAATATGTTCCTAGTTTCATACAGCATCGTGTGACTGGTGCTACGCTTCCTCGGTGAGTTTATTATTATGATGATTCTTCAAGAAGGAAAAATATATATATATATATATATATAAATTTTTCATTATAATTTATTTCAGATTAGCTGTGAACAATATGCATTATCTTAATAATGTTCTGGGCATTAAAGATCCTATTCACAAACAAAAAATTGCCTTAAAAGCGATGGATGTTGTTTTGTTTGGTCCTCCTAAAGGTGATACTTAATATTCTGACATATAAATCTATAAAATATATTTATTTCAGAGAATTAATTATATACTTATTAATTACTAGATACAGGACATAGTGTCAAAGACTTAGTATTAGTTACATTGTTATTTGGAGCACTTATTGGATGCTGGTACGCATATCAACAAAAGAAAAATTCCCAAAAGCATCTTCATAGAATGATGAAAGACATGGAAAGCTTACACAAGGCAGAACTTGCCTTGGAAAATTTACAGGTAATTTTCCTGGAAAAGTTGATTGTCTAATACAATTACAAATAAATCACTTTAACTAAGAAATTGTATTAAATTATATTTTATAAATGATTGCAGAAAGAGCTAGAGAGAGCAAGAATGGAACAGGAAAGTGCGGCGACTGAAAAACAAAATTTGGAAAAACGTTTGCAAGATGAAAGTTTGGGATTACATACTTCATATTCGGATCTTGAAGTATCGCAACTAAAGGCGGAAATCGAAGTTAATGCAGTTTCGAATTTATTTTATATTTATTTTATATATACTGTAATATTATATATATATTTATATTATATTATATTATATATATATATATATATATATATATATATAATATATATATATATTATATATTATATTATATAATATTATACATATTATGAATATATTTAGTAACACAGTTCTAATCTCTTATCAATTTATATCAATCTATATATATATATATATATATATATATATCTTGTAGATGCTGAAGCTGGAATTACAACGAGCAGAGGGTGAACTTGAAGATAGATGTTGGTCGCCACCAGCTGGACTGCAGCATTGGCTACAATTAACTCATGAAATTGAGAACAAAGCGTATACTAATAAGAAGATAGCAGCTGAAAAACAGCTTCAACAAGCACGAGAAGCGGTGAGAAAAATTTATTTAAATTATTCAATATATTATGCAATTCATACATTGTGACATCATCTTTTTTATATATTTACATATTATTTCATCTTCTTTATAATTAATAGCTTGCCAGGAAAAATATTCTGTTGCTAAAAATAAAATTTATTTATTGTTTTGCAGTGTGAGAAATTACGAAAGAAACGTTCCAGTTTGGTGGGTGCCTTTGTTTCGACTCATGGAAAATCCATCGACGAAGTTGATAAGAGTATAGTTGAGGCAAGAACTGCCCTGAATGAAGTAACGAATGAATTGAAAGAGAGAGTACACCGTTGGAAACAAATTGAATTGCTTTGTGGTTTTAATATAATTAATAATAATGGATTAAGTTATTTAGAGACCGTTTGTACAGAGGGACACCTAATGGTAGAGGTCTTGGATTAAGAGGTAATTTAATCTATTTTCATTTAATCTATATTCATTGATCATAGAATAGATTAAATCTATTTTAATTTATATAATAATTAAATATAATAATTATAATAATTATATAATATATTTATATATATTATATATTATAATTATATATAATTATATAATATATTAGACATAATATTTATATATTATATAATTTAGCTATTAACAATTATCATTCTATCTTTTAAATTGTATATTAATTAAAAATTAGAAAATTATATCTATACATATTTTCTTATTGATTTAATTACAAATGTTTAAATAATTTTATAATGTATTATAGGACGACTTAGTAGTCAGGATGATTTAGATGATGAGGCAAGTTCACTGTACACACCGTCATCGGTCAGCGCAGTCGCAGGTAAGCTGGATACGGACTCCAATGAGTACTTAGATTGACATATCGATGCTCATTTTATTGTTAAATACCACTGTGCCCTGTCTATATGTCGCGCGTATATACAACATCACACAGGAAAACTTTCTCATGATGATTTACTAACGAGTTTTAAAGCTCCTGAGTCCTCGCCGCGATTATGTTAGATTATGACGTCACTGACAAAAAAGTACACACTGAAAATTCTTCTTGAATGCCATTTTTAAATGAAAAGAATATTTTGAAATGGCATCTAAGAATTTTTAGCCTGCGTTTTCTCGCCTCTGCCGTCACAATTCCGACATGGTTTTTCTCTCTTTTTTGATATTGATATTTTTGTGTTAATAACAGATATATAACATTAATAGGATTAAGTCACGTTGATATTAAAATTTCGTGTGCCTTGGATGTACATTTAACGTAAAGTGATCAACATGTGCGAATAAGGAATGTAAAAGGCATTTCATTACGCAAATGTTGTATGATATATAAAAAATTATATTTGAAAAAAACAATTATAATAAATTATGCTACTATTGTGCCAATATATACCATATCAATACAAAACTTAATAAAGCTTAATTTTTTGAAGAATATAATTAAAGAGTATAATTAAAGAATACTTATAATATTTATAAACAATACTACTTCCACTAGATGCGTAGTGTACAAAATGACAAATAAAAAATTGATTTTATACAAATACTCATTAATGCAATTAAATATGTTAAGAAGGAGAAAAAGATCAAAAAACAATATCATGATAGATAATTATAATAATATTCTGCAATGTAAATAAAATATAAAAATTATTAAATGTATGTATATAAAACTATTGTTATATATATATATATATATATATATATATTAGAGTAACAAATTATATTAAAATCATCAAATTTTATTTACTTTTCCTATATATATATATATATATATTATATATATATATATATATATATATAAAAATCATCAAGTTTTATTTACTGTTCCTATATATATATATATATATAGGAACAGTAAATAAAACTTGATGATTTTTAATATAATTAGTTTTCATTAAGAATTGTAGAATGATATAGTGTGTTTTTGTGTTTTTATTATGAGCATATTTAATTATAATAAAAATTGTGCATACATTAAAAGAAATTTGTGCAATAATTTGTCTTATTACATAAAATATAAAAAAATTATGTGATTGATTTTTCTTTTAAATATTTAATTGCATTTCCGTTATTTGTTTGTAGTGTTAGATTTGACTGCAACATGTACATGACAATAGGAATAATTATTAATTATTGATTAAAATATTATATAATTACAAAATGCAGCAAGATACAAAAGTATATATATTAATGAATATGTTTTATATAAATGTATATATAAGCATGAATTCTGGAACAAAGAATATCATAAAATTAATTACATATGTTTATACATACACAGGGAATAAAGCATTATAATATTTTTGAGACGTGTACTATAACGTTTTAATAATATTAAATAATATTAAAAATATAGACTTATAAATATAAAAATACTATAAATATTAAAATATATATATATATAAAATTGTTTACGTAAATCTCGAATTTTGGATCAATTAATATATTTTATAGGCATTATATACATATATTGTTAGAGAATTGATTTTATTAGTAATAACTGAATTGTGAATATTTGGAGATAATTTTGTATGTCTCTTCATATATACATATATACATACACAACACACATACACATATATCTTGTTTTATTCCAGTGATAAAAACATCTAATTGTAAAAAGGACGCATTATCAATTTAAAATTTAAATCGTTTTCCCAAAAGTGATTTTCTAAACTATGTTTTGCAATTTAACATATGTATATATGTATATATATGGATATGTTCGTGCGTGTGTGTATGTATGTGAAGGAATATTGGGAAATAGGTTCCATATACATATTGTGTACAGTACAATATGAATCCAATATGTGTATGTGTGTCTTTTGTTTTTATAATGATTACGTAACATGCTGGCGTTATTTTTCTGTATTAAGTAATCGCTATTATAATAAACTTAAGTAAGCTTAGCAAAAACTATGAGAGCTTGTTAATATGACCTCTATCAAGTGCTCCAACTTTTGTTGCATGTTTAACATTTTTTGAAACCTAGCTAGAAATTAAAATTGCTTGCATGTTATTAAACCAGAGTGTAATGTACTCTTATACATACCTACGTAGAAATTATTATTTAAAATCGAATATAATTCATGAAATTTTTAAAGAGTGTTATTTTCAACTTTTACGATAATGAAGATTTTATTGTGCGGCTCTTTTATATGCAATTCAAAGAACTGACGTGATTTAATTAAAAAGTTAATATTTTTTATATAATTAATAATAATTATAAGCATCAGAGATAGAACATGTAGCTGAATAATGAAATGCATTTTGCTGGCGCAAATTTGTATGTCATATGTGTATTTTAATATTAGCTATGGAAAATGGTAAATGAAGGAAAACTTTCACGATGCGAGCGATATTATCTCGTTAGGGATGGGATCAAATTCAATATGTATTCAAAAATCCAAATCGAATTTAATAATCAAGTTACATTTTCCAAGATTTGAATACTCGTAAGATATTTCTTGTAATATTTATATATTATATAATATTTTATACTTTATGTATTGTACTTGCGAGTCTAGAACAGTTATATTCGAATTTTAGTATTTGGATACCTGTAAAGTTCGAACTAGTACTTATAAGTACTTTCTATCGTAAAAAATTTAAGAACTTTTGCAAGTAGTACTTGAACTCTAAGATTTAAAAAATCTATTTTGATACTTGAATTCGAATTTTAGTATTTAAGTTTACATATATGCAAGTTCGAAGTGGTACTTACAAGTATTTTTTATCGTAAATAATTGAAGTACTTTGTACAAGTAGTACTCGAAACTCCAAAATAAAAAATCTATACTTGAATTCGAATTTTAATACCTGTATGTATTTGAATACTTGTAAAGTTATAAATAGTACTTTAAAGTATTTTCTATTGTAAAAATTTAAGTATTTTTACAAGTATTTGAATTCCAAAAAAAAATTATTTATGATACATAAAATTTCTTATAATAAATTTAAATACTTACAATAAATTAAAGTACTCATAACAGATTCAAGTACTCATAAAAGTACTCATAATAGATTCAAGTACAAAAGTGCTCGTGATAGATTCAAGTACTCACAAAAGTGCTCATGATAGGTTCAAGTACTCACAAAAGTACTCATGGTGATTCAAATACTCATAAAATGTTCAAGCATGCTTAATTCAAGTTTGAATGTACTTGTTTTATTATTTGAATACTTATGGAGAGAGAGTTTGAACTAAGTTCAAATTACTTAAACTTTTTTCTTCTCTTTGTAAATAATTATATAAAGTTGCAAATTTGAACCTACTTCTAAAATACTTAATCCCATCGCTATATATCGCTGCATCTTCCGCTATGGGTCAAAGCGAGAACCAAAATGAAGACTTTTCCGCTAAATACGATCTAAACTTTGCTTCTCTCCTCTTATCAGTTAACTATCAGTAGCGCAGTAGATTAGTAGCGGAGAAAGGAATTGCAATTGAACTCTGGAACATTACTTGACCATATTCGTAGGTATTTTGGAGAACTCTGCGTGGAAGGAGTCATCGGTACCACCCGCTGGTCGATTTGGCAGCGAGCTCTCGGACTCGTCGAGCAGCGAAACCGAGAAGGAACCTTCAGCCGGGGTAGTCCACTTCGTGGTGGGTGACGGACCCGAAGAGCCAGCCGTAGGGAAGGTCGTTGGCGCCTCCTCGCCCAAAGAGAAATCCAGTATCACGCGGTCCTACAGCCAGGATACGAACGTGCTGAACGAGGAGAGGGCTTCCTCGATCCTTCCGCCAAAGACGTCGTACTCGGAAAATTCCCTGGACGTCTCGGACAGGTCCTACCGTCCTACGTCGATGAGCGTGAAGAAGCCCCTTCGCGAGTTACCTACGGTGATGTCGGTCGACGACGAGACGCTCTCGACCGACTCTAATTCAACAGCCGACAACGACGAGCTTAAACGGAGACGCAGGAAGCTACACTTTCCGGCTTTCAGGAAGAACAAGGCTAAAGTTACGTGATGTCCGCTAGTCACATAATATATATATATATATATATCGAGTTTGTTACTTAATTGCTACAGTTAGTATATAATCCTAAGACGCGTGCACTTAAGAATTATTTATCAGTAATTATTAATTAATTAATTATTAGCAACTATTCGCGTGACAACACATACACTCTTCTCTCTTTCTTTCGCTCTCTCTTTCTCTCTCTCTCTCTCTCTCTCTCTCTCTATATATATATATATACTATATATATATATATATATATATATATATCTCCTTGTTCCTTCGGTAGACCTAAGTCAAGAATATAGACAAATATAAAACCACGGTTCTCGGTGGGCAAAGAATATAGACGATCTATATTCTTTGCTATTATGTTACAGCTGTTAGCAGTGGAGTATCATTTGTATTATCTTTGATATTGACAGTACTATTATTCTCTGGAATGCAAATGGCTGGGGTACTTACTATATACGCAAGTACCCCAGCATGTGTGATCCCGGGGGGTACCGTGCTTCTATACTCGTTTATATTCTTTGCCCAAGTAGCAAACTGACGTCATTAAACGTCAAAATGATATCATTTTAACGTTCTCATTATTAAATTGAATTTAATAATCAAGTTAGATTTTCTAAGATTGGAATAGTACTTGTAAGATATTTCTTATTATAATATTTATATATTATATAATATTTTATACTTTATGTATTGTACTTGCGAATCTAGAACAATTATATTCGAATTTTAATATTTGGATACCTGTAAAGTTCGAACTAGTACTTATAAGTACTTTCTATTGTAAAAATTTAAGAACTTTTACAAGTAGTACTTGAACTCCAAGATTAAAAAATCTATTTTGATACTTGAATTCGAATGTTAGTATTTGAGTTTACATGCAAGTTTGAAATGGTACTTATAAGTATTTTTATCGTAAATAATTGAAGTACTACTTGTACAAGTAGTACTCGAACTCCAAGATAAAAATATGTACTTGAATTCGAATTTTAGTACCTGTATTTGGGTATTGTAAAGTACATTTATAATAATGACATCAAAATGTAAAGTGCATTTATAATGATAACGTCAAAATGATGTCATTTTGATGTCTAATGATGTCATTTGACGTCAAAATGACGTATGCTTGTTATCTGGGGATTCGCGAAAACGTAATAATTATTTAGGATGTTTGTTGTTGCTGGTGTTCCTTCTACTTTGCCAAATTTTCACGTGCGTTAAATGATGAAACAAAGAAAATAATAAGAGTCAGCGAGAATCACACATCCTTAGATATAAATAAAAACTTTTTAGAGAATTGTCACAATATTTGAGAAAGGAAAGTTCTTATACGACAATATATATATTTCGGTATGATACTTTTTAAGAAAAAAAGCTAAAAAGCGTGTTTTCCGAGAGCCGCGGATTTTTACAAGTAAGATTTTTTACGATGACGTTAGTAATAATAATAATAATTATAATTATAATAATAATTATCGTTAGCGTAACATTTTTTATCGCGATATAATTCCGTAGTTTTTAATCTAGTAGTGATCTAGCGTGCATACTGGGATGAGGGATAAAATTAACTAACTTGAAGGATCAATCTTCCTCGTTTATACGTTACACTTATACGCTTTTACGAATAATGGAACAAGTTGAAGTTGTTAAAGTTGTTATCGTTGATACTTTTTCTGAATAACATTATTACCTGTAACTTACTTATCGGTGAAAACGAATACGAAACGAATTTTATACCTTTGTATACAATGTGTATAAGTAAGATTGTAAAGTATTATGCGAAAAATCTTTTAACCGCGAGGCGCTTAAAATAATCAAATATTTTCACTCAAATCAAATCACGTCCATGGGATAGGAATATTTAAATTATATAAATACAGAAAGTGTGTAAGATAATAAAAAAAAATAAGCCGTACACACAGAGATCGTTGTCAAGTCTTGTAGAATTTCGAACAAATTCGTGTCTCAGGGTGAAGAATCTCGAAAAACCCTCATTTTTCTATATTTTATGTTTTTGCTACAAAGGACCCTGCACAATCTTTATGGAAATTTAATTTCGGTGGAATTTGCCGCTTTTTTCATATGTTGTAATTTAAGACTTGCTGAACAAAAGATATAATAGTCTCTAAGAGCTAAATAATGAGCAATTACTAAGTTACAGCCAGTCAAATTATTTATTATTTAGCTTTGAACCTATTATATTTTTTGTTTAGCAAATCATAAGCTATAACATGTGAGAAAACTAGCTGATTTTATCGAGATTCAATTTTATCCTACATAAAATGGAATTTTGGTAAGATTCAATGAACAAAGAGTGTAATAGGTTTAAAGCTAAATAATAGATAATTACTAATTTATAGCTAGTCAAACACGCGAAAAATTTGGGCTCTGCGAATTGTTTGACTGGCTGTAACTCAGTAACTGTTATTTTTGAATTATTATTTTTAGTTTTGAAGCTATTACATTTTTTATTCAGCAGGTCACAAGCTAAAATATATGAAAAAACTAGCCAATTCCACCGAAATCCAGTTTCTATAAGAATTATCCTTTTTCGTACGTAATAACAACGTATAACACCGTCGTTAATTAATTCACCCTTGTATGCACTCGGCTCAAAAATCAAACGATTTAGAGGATGGCTTATGATTACAGCAAAGCTGAAACTCCGTTTTAGTTTAATTTGTTAAAAGATTGTCATCGTTTATATTCCATACTTGTGTAATACAACTATGTAACAATTTCCCCCGCTATTATCCGTTTGCAAACAGTGTTGTATAAATAGTATGTTAGTTATTTTGATTATAATTTGTGTTAAACTTGATTATTCTTTTACGGTATGCTCAAGTATGAATTATAGAACGCACGATTTCTGTATATATATACATATATATACATATATATATATATATATATATATATATCCACCTTTATAGTACGAAATTGTTTCGCGACTATCTATAATTTTGTGACAAAACACACTGACATATTTAGATCTTGTAATGCAATTAAAATTTGCGCACCGCTTTGAAGAATGTTTGTATTTAATTTATCATCTTGTGTGTAAAATTTATGGGATTAAGTAACTTACAAGGATTAAATTTGAATTTGTTTGCATGGTTTCGAACTCTCTATAATTACTTTTAAAAAAATATTTTGAAGTAAGAGATAGGCTCGAGCCTTTTTATTTTTGATTCCACATTTTTAAGTATATAATAATAAATTTGATCCCATGCTTAAAATAAAATTACAAGGTTTATATTTTCGCGCATTCCAAGCGCAATAATATCTATTTTTTAATTAAAAAATAGGTATTGTGCTTATGTATAGTTATACATATTTATTGTGCTACTATATTTAGTTTCTATGCTTTCAATTGACATAACAAGATCATATAATATACACTTTACACACTTTAATGATTAATAATTCCTTCGAAAGTTATGCTTGTTATACAGGGTGATTCAAAACAACCGTTTGTCCTTAAAATGTCGTATTCCTGACTCAATTCTAAGACGATTTTTCCTTTGCCAAAATTTTATCCGAAGCTTAGTTTTTGAAATATAAAAAGAAATAGTTAGCGAATTACAGCACGAGTACGGGCGGTAATCAGGAGCGGCGCACCACATTATCCGACGCGGGCGATTACGTGGGCGCTCGAAGCGATCAGCTGTTTGTTACACGCGGCGTTTGTGTGTGTGTGTGTGTGTGTGCGTGTGTGTGTACGCGTATACACACACACACACTCTCTCTCTCTCTCTCTCTCTCACTGATTCTTACCTTGTAGAGATGTTTGATGTCCTTTGACGAATAATTGTTGCCTGACTGGATACAATCCGATATTGACACACTGTGACACACTGCATAATGAAATCATTTTTTTGTAATAAATTCTATTGACACTTTGACTCACGCACTTGATTAAAAATTATTGTAATAAATAACTGATTACAAATTACAACACATAATCACAATCTGAGATAATTTTCTCTTAGAATTTGCCCTGAAAATTGTGGTAATCGTAGGATAATATTGTATGGAAAAAATTTTATTAGAATTCCTCTAATTAATATTTATCACATTCAAAATAATATCTATCACAATAAAATATGAAATATGTGTGATTAATTTTACTAAACTGTATAGTAAAATTAATCAAACATATTTATATTTTCTTGTGATACATATTATTATTTTAATATGATAAATAGTAGAGAAATTCTAATAAAATCTTTCCACATCATAATGTCCTACGATTACCATAATTTTTAGGTAAATTCTAAGAGAAAATTCTCTAGATTGTGATTATGATTGTCGTGTCCTTGCCGTGTAAACTATTGCCGTCCGCATTGAGTAACGTGTGCTGTGCGCGCCGCGCGTTTTTACAAGTAATTTTTAATAATTAATCAAAACACTGAGAGAATTTTCTCTTAGAATTTACCCTAAAAGTTATGGTAATTGTAAGAGAATATGGTATGGAAAGAATTTTATTAGAATTTCTCTGATTAATAATTATCACATTCAAAATAATAATATTTATCACAATAAAATATAAAATATATTTCATTAATTTTACTTTACGGTTTAGTAAAATTAATAAAACATGTTTCATATTTTATTGTGATAGATATTATTATTTTGAATGTGATAAATATTAATTAGAGGAATTCTAATAAAATTTTTTCCATACAATATTATCCTACGATACCACAATTTTCAGGGCAAATTCTAAGAGAAAATTATCTCAGATTGTGATTATGTGTTGTAATTTGTAATCAGTTATTTATTACAATAATTTTTAATCAAGTGCGTGAGTCAAAGTGTCAATAGAATTTATTACAAAAAAATGATTTCATTATGCAGTGTGTCACAGTGTGTCAATATCGGATTGTATCCAGTCAGGCAACAATTATTCGTCAAAGGACATCAAACATCTCTACAAGGTAAGAATCAGTGAGAGAGAGAGAGAGAGAGAGAGTGTGTGTGTGTGTATACGCGTACACACACACGCACACACACACACACACACACAAAAC